TACATTTGTGTCTGATACAATATGCTGATTTTTATATTTCTTTTTCTTCATTTGTTTGACTGTTCAATCTGTTCTCTTCTGATGCTTTTTCGTTAGGCTCACTGTGGTAACGAGTGAGCATACTGCTTTCTCACCAACTAATAAACGGGTGTTTTTTTTTAAACAAACAAACAAAAAACCCCAGATGATGATAATTCTTTTTGTTTTCTTTTAGTTGGCCAAGTCCATCATTGAAAGGAAGGTTCAAGTCCCAGCCTGTTGCCGCAGGTGCTTCAAGTACTTCAGCATACTGCAGCCCAGGAAGAAACAGTCCAGTGATGAGCAGCCCAGGGAAATATGGCAATGCTGCTTCGTTCTCTCCAGATTTTGGGAGTCCTGGACGTTACAGTCCAGCATATGCCAACCACATCCTGTTAAAACTGCGTCACATTTCAGAACCACCCACCCATTAGAACGTGGTCCATTTTCCTGGGACTTAAATTATATTTACATTTTAAAAGTAGGGGGGAAGGTACAGTGTTGCTAAAGTGACACAAAGAAGCATACTTGGCTATTTATTTATCCTCATCTTGAGGACCAATATATAGTAAAAATTGAATACGTCTTGATGCCATATACCAGATAGATTATTGGTGATTTGCAAGAAAAAAGTGATGGTTAACTCAGTTATTCAGTAGCTATAAAATAAATAACCCCTACACTTGTTAACAGTAGAGCAGTGATCTGAACCTTTCACTTAACAATTCCCAGTTGAAATAGCGTTCTTTATTGTAGAAGAAGTGTAATTGTCAGTATGAATCTATTCACCCGCAAACGCATCTCTTCACTTGGATATCCTTAATGAAGCAGTGTCAGTAAACAGATTTCTAGGTTAGAAGGAACTTAAAATGAGTTAAATGCATATTTCATTTGTTGTTAAAGGAAAGACTTGCACTGAAGAACTTCTAAAAGCTAAATCGGAGAGATGGCTTTCCTGTTTGAATGAGAATGTGATTACCGGGTGTGTGATGTGTCCATGGCTAAGAACTTGTCTGATTAGTAAGAAGAGATCATTATGAGGTGCAGACTGACAATTTTATGAGTCACTGCTCATTCTGTGGGTATTAAATAAATGTCATGCATTGAGTGTTTTAGGAAAGGGTCACAATAGAAATTTGATGTATATGCAAGTGTTTGAAGATGAAAAGCTCAGCTTTTTTCCCACAAAGGTTTTACTGTTTGCAAATGTTAATAGTAATTACACAAAAGCACATCAGCAATAATTTAAGTAAGTTTACCAGCAATGTATCTTAAAGGTCCAGTTTGTTGTGCTATATTATGGAGATTAACAGATAAACCCATAATATTGGGTTAGTCTTCTGTTAGAAGGAATGAATAAGGACTTTGACGTTTTTGTTGAAATACAGCCTGTTGTTGTGCCTGTAACGTAGATGTGGTAACTGTCCTTTGTTAGCTACAGTTAATTTTCATTCGTTAGTCCCTTTAAGAATGAATCCCATAGTCCAATGTTGAAATCGGGAATGTCCTAAATTTTGATTCAGAATGCCAAATACAGATTTTGGTGATTTGTAGTGTGCTTAAGAGGCTTCCAGTAACATAGTTCCCTATTACACAGTTTTTCATTAAAAAAGTTAAAAACACAACTGTTATCTTAACAGAAAATTCAAAGTGGACACATCTATGTTGGTAGAAAATATTAATTATATTATTGTTACTACTACCCCCATAAAGTAAGAAAATAAAAATAATCCTTAAGAACTTTATTATAACATACACATGTTTAAAGGAACACTAATAATAGGTGGGATGATGTTCTGTCTCTAGCTGAGACTATTAATGCATTAGAAGATGGATTAAATTGCCTAAGGATAGGTTTGCTGGCTGTTGCATACTATAAAGTGACTGTTCATATACAAACTGTACAATGTTTTCAATGTACTCATTGTTCGGTACAAGTTCCAAACTGCACTTATGCTTTTGCAAGCTTAATAGTGCCTTTTGTAACAAAGTTTTAAATTAGCATATTGTTCTTGCTTTTAAAAGTGTAAAGAAAAAGTATCCACATTCATGGGTGCATAAACTGTGGTTTCCCTTCTAAGACTTAGGAACTGAAAATAATTCTAAAAGCTCTTTCTGAATCTTAATAGTTTGGTTGAGATAGCTCTAGACTTTAGAGTAACAGATGTAAATTTTGGAATTCAATAAATGGCTTAAACTGAGTCTATTTCCAATTATTAGAAAGAACTGTTCTGCAAAATGACCTAACACCAGTAAAATTAACCCAAATAACTTATTGTAGGATCCACCTTTTAAGACTCTCCTCTCAAGAATCAAGTTTCCCATAGAAAAAGCATTTTGCTTGTTTTGTTTCGTTTTGGTCATAGTGGTCTTTATCAGACACATTCCTACATTGTCACTAGTCTGTGGAATTTTGTAACTTCTAAATTATGAAAAGTTGATCTACTAAAACCTCATACACTGTGCAGTATGCAAGTAATTACTTATTGTTACACAATCATTTGCTTGCGTACACAAAAGCTGAAAACATATCACTAGTGAGGAAAATTATTTTCTTTCTGAAATCCAAACCTTAAAACCTGCGATTTGTTTGAAAGTTTGGACAAAATACCCAACAGGCCTGTCAACAGACATGGCCCCCTCCAAACTCTCGTATGTACATTTACAATAAGTTCTGTATTAGTTTTAGAAATACTGTTGATAAACAAATTCAGGAGGCCTAAATCCTGATACCTTATTACTAGTTTCTGTTTTCTGCTTATTGCTATATGCTTTTTGTATTTTAATGTATATTTCTGGCGCACAGACTTCTGACTACAAGTTTGTAATTTAATGTTTTAGAGTTATGTAGGGGTGGGGATATTTTTTATTGAGAAATGGCTTCTGGAATTTTGAATTTTAGCCCATTTGTTGTACTGTGTTTTAAGAAGTAACTTTATAACACATTATATTAACTTCATTTATTTAAAATTAACCATGTATTTCTTTATGATCTTGAAGAAGGAGGATCTTCCAATGGAGAGTCTGTGGAGATGCTTTAAATGTAGATTAGAACTGTTTAGTTTTGTGCCTTTATTGGGCAGCAGTTTGCAATTTAATGATGCAAAGGATACATTTTATTATGTCGAGTAAGTCAAAATACTGAGACTTAGCTACCAGTGTTGTTCTTTCCATTCGAAATATGCAGGTAGTAGAAAGGTTGGAGTTGGAAGATGGGTTCATAGGTGCATGAGAATATGGGTCTATGTTGTGAAACAGAATGAAGAGTATCAAACTCCATACATTGTTCAAGTTTTGTTTGTATAATGAAATTGAGGTGGTGCCTCAATTTTGGTAAAAGAAAATAAAGGCTCAGAACATGTTTCACATATACTAGATTGGGTCTTGAACACTGAATTTTTGGCATTTAAAAGAAGCTGCCACATTTGGAGGGATGGAGGTAATTGTGCTCCATGTTGCTGAGGTCAGCCAGGTATATTGTTGTCTTAATGGTACAATAACTGTACTCTAAACCACGCAATTATATTTGTTTCTTTTTTAAAATATATTTAATATTTGTTTTTAAGAGTTCCAATACACATGTTGCTGATTTTTGCTGTATGTGTCCAAAAGTTTGTTGTATATGCTCTGGCCTTCCAACCTGCACATAGATATAGTTCTTTCAGTACTGTGTATGTAGATGTGCTGGAGTAAAATAAAGTGCACAAAGCAGTCAGCAGTGAAGAACCCTTTGATTATGGGGTATGGCCACAATCTTTGTCACTTTATTGGCATTCAGTGCTCCAGGTAATGTTATTGCTTAAAGCTGCATTGAAACTGCATTTCAAAGAATTTTAGTGCATGTGAGAGACTATTGGAATTAGTGTTGGTGGGGCTGTTGGCTGTAGCTTAATTTCAGCCCTCCCACTTCTGCTGACAGCCTATATCTGTTAACTGAAAATATAAAAATGCCTCTCCCTGCTCTTTAAACTATCACCATGTAACATGCAGGTCGATATTTATGTGTTTTCCCAGTTATTTAAACAAAACTGAAGTCCCTAAACAAGTGGAAAGCCTTCCTTCTGATCATCTGCCAGCAAACAGTCAAATATTATAAATGTTTCTCAAACAGCTTGCTGTACTGAAACTGCTAGCAACACTGGAAACAGTGTGACTGTTTTGGCAAAGGTACTCATACCAGGAAGCAATTGCCAAAACTTTTACTGATCAATTGGGTGTAGAGGATTTTGCAGGAAGCAAGGGATGGGTTTATGTTTTAAAGCTTGCTATGGTTTCACCAGTAAATGAACATGTGGTTATTAAGTGGCTGTAGATTTACCCAGGCTAAGTCTGTAGCCCTTTCTAAATAAATGGAAGATAAGGCTGGGAAAGTCTGAAAGAATATGCAACTGCTGATGTATTTACTAACCCCAAGTAAGACCTCATTCCACAAATGGCAGTTGTACACTAGGGAAAATAGCCAAAGATGCTGTGTTATATTTAGTTGCTGCAGCTATGGTGGGATAGGCAAGCTGCCCATTTTTCTTGGAGAGTGAAAACTGCCCTTCTGCTTTGAAGATGGCAGGTGTACTTACCTGCCAAATTATGAATACAGTAGTAAAACAGATGATATGCAATTCACCGAATGGATCAAAAGACTAGACAGAAGTGTAATACTTCCTCATACACAGTGTACCAATTAACCTATCCATGCACTAATCATTTTAAGCCATTAAGTTCCACCAAACCCCACAGCTTTACTCAAAAGGATAATGTGGGATATTAAATATATTCTAGGAAACTTTTTGCCCATAAAAAGAGACTTTAGGGGTAAAGTTTTACTTCAGCCCATTAAAAAAGAGAAAATATACTCCTTGAATCCATGGCAGTAGTTACAATGCCACTTTCATGACCATGGTAGAGTTTGAAGAGTAATCCTAGCCTAACCATTTCTGGAATGTTACTGTATAGCTCCTAGTGCCAAACACCACAAATTAAACCACTAAGAGCCAGACCAGTTATTTTTATTCAAAACGGTTAAAAAGCCAACAAAGTAGATAAATTACAGTTTCTTGCATTGATTAACAACCCCACATTTAGTTTCCCCCATGTGCATTTTTCTCCTGCAGGATTTAGCTGCTCTGCTAGTCCCAGTTTTATTGAACTGGCATCTGTGTTGCACAGTATTTTGCATCAAGCTTATGGTTTCAGCTGCATGAGTTCCTAGAGAATGACTTCCATGATTAAAAGTTTTGGATAGCTGCCAATGGAGAAAGAGCTGAATAAACTAATTAAAAAGATTTTTAAAAAGGAAAATCTCAGGCTTGATGGATTCTGCCATCACCCGGCTAAGTTAAGGGACCCTAGTTTTTGGTACATGGCAGCTTTCAGCACCCTAAGCATTTATCTGGTCCATGTCTGCCACCTTTCAGACACCCTGAAGGGAATAGAGCGTGTGCTGCATCACCCTTGAATACCAGCTTTAGTTTTGTATAAAAGTACATGAACTTTTTGCCTGAACATATTCCCCTAGAAGGTTCTGGAGTGTGAGTGTCTATAATCCCTTTAACTTGCCATTGACAAGCAGCGATTTAACTTTGTCACTGGCTGCTCTCTCCCTAAGATGCTTTTTCCTACCCTGAAAGAGGCTTCTGCCAGCACAGTTAATCTGCCTGTGAAAGGCAAGGAAAAAACTAAAGTTACATAAAACCTACTGGGGAGGGGAGGGAAGGAGCGAGCGAGTCTCTCTTCAGCACCTCCCTTCCCCTAGGTCTTCTCTAGCTAGCATCTGCCTGGAGAAAGAGCCTGCAACATTACTATTTGTCCTTACCCTTTTCTTCCATTTCTACTATTACAGAAGATTACCTATGTTCCCTAGTCACTTCCATAGCGTAAGCTGACTTGAGATAATAGCAGTGTTAGAGACTGTTGCTTAAACAAACATTATTTAAAATAGCTTTTTCCTGAGAAGGGGGAAAATGCTGAACTTGGACAGCAGTTAATACAGCACTGAAGCTCCACTGTAAACATAATGCAGATCCTTCTTTCAAATATACCTACCACCAAGCACACTGATGTGTACAAGACTTCAACAAGCAGAAGAGTCGTGCAACTATCCCTCTATAGCACTGAAAGCACAGCCACTCACATCTGTACAGCAGAACTTCTACACAAATCATCCATGTCTTCTGCAAGAGTTAAGCAGCTTTGCTTGTCTTCAATATCAAGCTTAGTGTGATAGAGGATGCTCTCAGCAGGATCTGCACATTTTGCTCCTTACTACAAGGAAAACAAAGTCCTTGGAAAAAACCCAAGCTCTGGTTAAAGAGGGAAGAGGACCTTTCACTCTACAGCCAGGCAGTTGGCATGCTTGGTTGTACTGGGAACAAAATCATTAAGTCTTTCCATGCTTCATAGCTCAGAGCAAGGTTGCTGGATTTAAGTGAGCAACTTTATCTCTTCCATACATAAAATGGAATTTCTTCTTTTCTAGACTGAAAGGCAGGCATGGCATGTGTGGAGGCAGGAAGTTAGAATACAATTTTAACAGCATCACACCTGGTATTACAAACAAATCTAGTGGTACTGTAGCTGAACATACTAGTGCAGAGACTAGAGGTAGCTCCAGAATGGCCATCAATAATACTAATTCAGGTGCGTGTGATTTTCTCCGGAGGCATGAATCCTGTGTCACCAAGTGTTCGAAGTGCCACTCTTCCATTAGGACGGATCACCAAGTGCGTTATACTGCCATTGTTTAGGGACATCCGAAGCCAGCCTTCTGGGGGGAACTGTAATGCTCTATTGGGTGGGAGGCAAAAAAAAAAAAAAAAATAGGTATAGTTAATCTGTAACCAAATATGAAGATGAGCATGCAGCTGGTAGCTCTAGTGTCATTTTCTTCTCTGCTAGATGGAAACGTCTACCCCAGTAAAGCTGTGCATCAAACAGTTTACATGCAAAATCTCCTGCCTAGAGCCATGGTACTGTAGCTCCATGCCTACAAGTGAAAGGTGCAGGAAAGAAAGGCAACAGCAAAAAGAATTTTAATTTAAATTAGCATCAGTGATAGCAGTGAAGATGCAAGCTCCTACTGGCAAGTCTGTGCCACTGTAACCAGAACATGTACTGCAAGTACTGAATGGTAGACACACTTGCAGGTCTAACTTTTTTCAAATTGAGTTTTGTCTTCTCCTCCCTCACGCACTTGCAAAACTGCTTTTGAAAAAGCTATAACTTGGACTACTTCATCTCAGACTTATTGTCAACATGAGTCAAAACTGACTATTGCACAAGAGTTTTCTACAGGATATCACCACACAGAATTGAAGTTGAGCTATTATTAAATTAGATCTCGAAAACAAGGGCAAGGAGGGAACAAAGGGAAAGCAGGGGTAGGCACAGTCAGGTCAGGACCTGGAGTTAAGAGCTGTAGAGAGGTGGAGGGGGGGGAAGAAGAGAGTAAATTCAGAGAACTTTGGGAAACCAGAAGTAAAAAAAGCAAACAAACCAAACAAAAAAACCCCAAACAAACCATACACACGGAACACTTCAGGAAAATAGCTTATTCCAGGAGTGAAAACAGACATTGTCAAGTAATTATTAGCACTGCAATGAAAAGTAGAGGCGCACTGATACATTGGTCCAATAGCAGATCGGTACTGATATAAAGAAATATTGGCTGCATTGGAAATCAGCCTCAAGTGGCCAATAATATGGCCGATAAATGGCTGCATGTTGAATCGGGGCTGTGCCAGGTGGGCAGCAGCAGCACTGGGAGCAGCATTCCAGGGGGCTACAAGATTTAGGGTGGCTGCAGCCACTTCCATAGCCCCCTCCCAGCACCGCTGCCGCCCACCCTGGGCCTAGCCCCTGCCAGGAAGAGTCTAGCATAGCCCCAGCTCCAGCCTGCCTGCCCTGAACAGATCCAGAGGCACATCCCCCCCCGCATTCCCTCCCAGGATGTGTGCAGCAGCAGAAGCCACACGCCCCCCACCCCAACAAGCCATGACTCCATCCCACGTCCTGCCTTGGCTGGGCAGTACCTGCCCCTGCCCCCTCCCTCACCGTGGAGGGTGTTGATCTGCCCCCACCCTTCCCTCCCACCACAACAGATTTACCAGCTGTGCCCCAATACCAGAAGCTCCCCAACTTTCATTCAACCTTAAATGCTATTACAAGATGTGTTCATTTAGCTATGAGAGCCATGATCTGTTCCCACAATAGGAGTTAGGACTGTTAAGGCAGCATGAACTACTGATCTTGAGATCAAGTTCAGAAAGAAAGACACCAATGAGATGCATGTGTATAGCCAATGAGCAGGAGACAGCAGTTCCCTGTCACTCTGCCAATCCTATCTGATTAGTTTTCTCTGCAACAATCCATATTTAGGGGGTGCCGGGGCTGGAGAAGCATAAGACACCACTAGTACCTGAGACCTAGAAATGGGTTTCAATTCCCAGTGACCTTTGGGAGATCTTTCTCTTTTTACTTCACAATCATTCAGCAGGAATGGTCAAGCATTAACCACTGAGGGTGATCAAGCACTGGAACAAGCTATCTGGAGAAACTGTAGAGTCTCCATCTCTGAAAGCTTTGAATAGCCAGTTAAGATACCCGCTTTGGGATGGTTTAGTCAGGGATGATTCTGCTTTGAGCAGGGAGCTGGATTAGATGAGCTTGTGAAGTCCCTTCAGCCCTATTTTACTATGATCCCTGCGAACAGTCACATTTTAAATCCCGTTTTCATATCTGCAGCTTAATCCCATCATGATGTAGGAACAGCTGCTCAGTGTAGCACTTATCCTCACTATTCACCTTCACCCTGCTCAAAATTCAAGCAATTTCCTAGCTATGATGGCCTAACGCCACAATGCACTAAACCAATTTTAGCAGAAATCTTTTAATTGTGCAGATGAATCTTCGTTGCGTCACAATTACCTGCAAACTATGTAGCGGATCACATTTGCATGGCAGACAAAGATTTCATAGCTATCTTCTTCTTGCTTTGCATCGGCTCTATGAATGTAATTTCGGAAGGCAGCCTCAATGCGAGCCCCATCTTCGTAATACTGCTGATAACAAAGAGTTTGTCATTAAACACAGATCATACCAGCACAGGTCATTACTGGTACCTTCTGAAGGGTCAGAAGGTAGTTCAGCTTCAAAACCTGCATGAGACTACTAAGGAGAATTTAAGGTATGGACAAATATCGTATGTGCTTAGAGAAGAAAAAGGTATGGGATCATAGGAGGCCTAGCAGATGGCCTGCACACAAGCAATACAAAAAGTACAGTTATTAAAGACCTGCATGAAATATGCCCAAAGACATATTGTATATAAAAATTTACCACAGCTTCCGGCTTCCAGTGAGAGATTGGAGGATCTGGTTCTATAGGAGCTCCCTCTCTCAGCAGATCAGTGCTAATTTTTTTGACCCCTGGAAATTAAAGAGAAGGAATCATTACTTCATAGGCCAATACAAACAGGCTCATAATTTTAGTCAGGAGGAGATAAATTACATTTCTTCATGTTCTATATTCAAAGAAGCCATTAGGTCATAAGCAAAATCTGAACATTTAGGTTTATATGGCTTCCCATTAAGGATGTTTGATAACTTCCAATAGCAGAGACATTCCCTCTTGCACCCTTTTGTCTACTGGAATTGAGATCAAGTATTGAGAGCAGGCAAAGACTTCCCTTTCTAAATACATGTTAATATTGGATTCTAAAATTTGACCTCCTTTAGTCCAGTGGTTCTCAGCCTTTTTTGTACCAGGACTCATTTGTAAACACTGATGGCCAATCCCAACCCAGTGCCCCTCACTCCTGACGCACTGCCCCCACCCCCAGGCCCCAGCCCTCCAGTGTGTGGGGTAGGGGATGGGAAATGGGGCCGGGGGGCCCCACTAAGCAGCCCCTTGCAGGCTCGAACTCTGACAGCCTGCAAGGGGAAGGACATGGTTTCCCACATTTTTCTCTCTCAAAAAATAAATAAATAAATAAATCCAGTTTTAAAAAGTTTGTTGATCCATTTTTACAGTTTGTCCACAACCCTTTCAAATATTCTTGCAACCTAATTTTCCACTTTTGGGTCACAACTCACAGGTTGAAAAATGCTGCTTTAGTCTGAAGAAAGGCTCTGTTCTACTTGGAAGATGCTGCTTGGAGGATTATTAGACCTATGCTCAGGGACTACAGATAAACTTAAATTCACCACTTTTCACTTCTCTTCCCTTCCTCAACTTCCAATTTTTGGCAGGCCACTTCTAATCTGCAGTCAAATGCCATTAATCTATATTCCAAGTTGGACTTTATGACTATTAGACAGATTCCTGAAAAAAAAATTCAGTCTATCAGGATCTGGTGATGATCATAACGGTTTGTGCATTTTGCTCACATACTTGTGTGAATAAATTGGGCACTTTTGCCACCAAGATAATTTAGAGTTTGGGACCAAGTACTCCCACTGCTGTATACAGGTAGTCAAACTGCATAGCACCTTTCAATGTGCCACCTTTGCCTTTCTCTAGCCTAAAGTATATCAGGTTTTCTGGTGCATCCACTTCCTGCCATCAGAGTAGTAGCAGTCCTGTAGCTATTCCTACATACTCTCAAGGCAGAAGTTATCATTTTCTCCCTTTCAGTACTCTGGTACCAAGACCACAGGGGCAGAAGCAGACACTCCCAATCCCAAACTATTTGCTAGACCTTTGTCCATCAGCCTGCACGTCAACTAAACTGCACATGACAAGAAATCACAAAATGACACAATGCTCTCAAACCACTTACCTGGAAGATATTTACTGATGATTTCTGTTGTTTCCGTAGCTCTGGTCATGGAGGAGTGGATAATCTTATCAAATTTCAACCCCAAGCTTGCCAGCCTGTGCCCAGTCAAGTCAGCCTGTTCACGACCTTAAAGTGATATTAGCTACATAGTAAGTTGCTGGTATTTGCAGAAATAGCCTTCAAAGTGTCTGTAAGATGCTAAGTACAAATAATACTTCATCCATTTCTTCTACCATTGACTATGATTCATATCACTGGCTGGAAAGGATACATTAGAAGTACCTTTGGTAGCATCACTACCAATTCAGACCAAGTTTGCAGGCTATAAAACTCCAGTACATATTTGTACTATCCCCTTCCATTTCATTGAGAAATATTCTATGGCAATCTAGTTACCCTCCCTGTTTCCACAAGCAGGTGGCCAGTTTGCCAGCACCCCTACATTCTTGGGAGTGCAGAAGAGAGTGTGTGTCCAATAGCCTTTCTTGAAATAACAGCCACAGAAGTATGCATCAGCCCATACAGTGGTAGTAAGTTACTCTCGGAAATCCACAGCACTCAGGGGTAGTAGGAAATTATCTATCCCCATCTTGCATGTAGATAGATGGAAGAATACAGAACTGAAGTAGCTCACCCAAAAGGCATAAAGCCAGACAATTTAGGGCCAAGAACTTGCCCCATTTGAGCTGCTCTCTGAGGCTGTCTCTATTTAAAGCCACTTTAATCTGTTTTAAAATGTAAATTAAAAGCTAGTAAAACCCAGAGCATCAACATTTTTGGCACCACATCTTCTGCACCTCAAGCACCACTCTAAGGAAAGCTCTTGCCTCCTCAAAGTAAAAGTGTCAATGTGCTTGTGCTAATGAAATTGGCACTCTTAAATGAAGCAGTTAGTCAGTGCTATTTCATTTGATACCTAGGCATAAGTATTTGCCAAGCATAGGTTAATTAGTTTTAATATACAAACAGTGGGTATTCTCATTTCAACAAATGAAAATTTATTAGTACTATTCCCAGGTGCATCAATAGAAATTAGGAAGCAGCAAGAAGCACGTATCCTTCTTTCCCTGACTATGAACACACCAATGGAAAGAAAAAAAAGACAGATTTCATTCTGTGACCTCAGCTGCATGAAATACTGCCATAATAGAAGGTTGGGCCCAAAACAGAAGCCCCCCTCCCACCCACCCCAAAAAAGCGGGGGCAGAGAGGTGAAGGGATGAATGCTTTTTCTGAGTTTGTCACAATAAAGACAATCACACTGATCTGCATTTTAGTTCAAAATCTCAGACAAAGGACATTTAAATAAGCCAAGTACACTGAAAGTAGCTCAAAAATCTCGAGAGAAGTTAAAACTTCATACTGGATTTAAGATATGACTGCTACTCATGCAAAGGCATGTTTGATACATGCCCAAGTATATTTTATAGGAATCATAATGGGAGGAACAAGCTTACTGAAGTGCCCACGTATGTTTAAAAGGATCCAAGGCTGCAGGCTAGGAAGCCGGCAAAGGGATCCAGAGTAGAATCAGCTGATTTAACAATTCAGGTCAGTGATAGAGCAAGAGAGCTTTCTCAGTGCAAGGTGTACAATCCAACACGCTGATAGTCACATACCCAGGGGGGTCAAAGTTTTGTCCTTATCGGCTCGGCCGTCCAAGTTGTACTGAGAATGGCGGATAAGAAATATGTGCCTGGTAGCTTTTGCTTTGCAGTGATTCAGGCGAGAGGCAAGCTCTTCTTCCCCAGTCTCTTCATTTTTCTTTTTCAGGTTAACAAGAGCCAGTGGTTCGCGTCTAAAAATATTGGAAGGAATACATTTAAACATGGCAGAAGGAAAGGCGAGCAAGCATGCTTCTTAACTGTAGACTCCATCTCTCTGTTAGTTCCAGTATCTGGTGCAGCTAAAGTTATTTTCTCTGTTTACAGCAGCCAACACATTCAGCAACACGATTCACAGGCTGCCACAGAATTAGCAAGAAAAGCAGACAATGCCAGTTCAAGGCAGCAAAATGTCAATTTCTGCCTTAAGTATATTTCTGGGTTTGTGGGGGCAGGCAGGAGGGGGAAGGAAATAGTTCATTTAGCTTCCAGCCAATGAAACAGGATTGGCAGGAAAATGACCTAGTACCTAGCAACCAGTGTAAGGGCACAAACAGATATTTGTGCAGTCATTCTAATCATCTGTTGAAACAGTTTGCTAGAAGCACTGGCTAACAAACACCTGCAGGCAAGAACGCCATTCTCTACAGCATCCTCAAGCATTTCATTGCATCCCATTTACTCTCACTCCTTCCCCCCGCCCTCTGCTGTACTAAATTAACATTCAATTAGCATTCAAGGTATCATTTGGATACTGAAAGACTGAAAATTCAGAGCACAGTACATGGTACCCTCCTTAGCCCCTTCATTAGTACCAGAAGACACTGCAATACTTAAATGGCCAAAGTTACCCACCAATTGAATCTCCTGCATAAACCAAACAGAAGGCTGCAGCAGTGAAAGAATGGTTCTCACCAGCCTTTGCTTACTTCACTTCAAGGTGTCAAGGGCTGGAGAGAATAGATGCATCTTAAGTCTGAATTTCCTTTGTCTCCTAGGTTTAAGGGCACATCTTCAACATGCAACATGTATTCTGGAAAGGGCATTTACCAGAGTGATACTGGCATGATTTTTTCAGTGAGTGTTACAAATAGTCTTTGGATTCCCAAAGAAGCCCATTAAATTCATATGACATTTCTAAATCTTAGGTATTTGCCTGACCTGTACACTCCAAGTGTATTAGCATAATCTGTGCCAAACTAGGCACTGTAACAGTGTCTAACTAAATCATGTGCACTAGTTGAAGAGTTATTCCATCATAAATAACATGTCTGCTGCTGACAAGCTACACAGAAAAGCTATTCCCATACAAGTGCTCTTCTTTACACCATCTTATGATGATGCTGCAATCTTGAAGCTGGAGGATGAGAAGGCAGTTTAGATCCCCATGGCCCATCATTCCTTCACTACTCAAGAGATGCTCAGCAATGCATCTTGTCCCATCCGTTTCACCATTGTGGTGCCAGATTTCTGCCAGTGCGAACCACACAAAGCTAGAAACTGGAAATACACTGAAAATGGTTGAAAGATCCAGAGAACTTAGTACACAGCAATTCCTGCCTGCAGAGTTTTCTCCCAAGACATTTAAGCTGCATGGACCCCCAAGAGACCAATACACCATATCAGAGATATTACAACTATCTCCAGTTTCCAGCAAGGAACGCGAATACAGGATTATCACTTGGTGCTTCCCTCATACAGTCAGTCATGTCCCTCCATTACGGTACAGCCTCTCGTTATTCTCCATTATGTATTCACTGCCTCAGAGCTACTGTAAATCATCCCCTTCATTCTGCCACATGGAACACTAATCCTTCTTTGCACAGATCATGCACGTCTTGCAGACTTAACTGATAGCCATCCTCAAAAGGACAAGAGGCAAAGAATAACCTTCCTGCTTATCGCTAGTTCTGCCCCTTTGCTTGCCTGCACCTGACACCAATACGCACTCCATCAACCCTATCCAGAGCTTCCAGTGATCCTGCTTCTCCAGATACGCACTGATCCTCTTCTCCATCTCACAGAAGTCCTTTCACTCCTCCACCCCCAGCCCCCAGAAGGAAATCTGCTCTTGATTGCAGAGCAGTTACTTTCTTCAGTATTACAGGATTTGCTATTTCAGGGTTTTTTGTTTTGTTTTGTTAGTTAAACATACTTCTGTGCATTTTTAAAGCATTTTACCATGAGTATCTTCCTTTAGGCAGAATAAAAACTACTTTGGTCAGGAGAAGAAAAAACCATCAGTTTGGTTAAACAGCAGCTAAGTCATAAGTACCCACAGTGAAAGTCAGCATCACTATTTCAATTTAAAATATACATTCCTCCTAATAAATGAGTTTGCTAAGCCTTTAAGAAGGTTACTCCCAAAACAATTTAATAGGACGTTTCAGTAATGATTCCCTTTCAAATTACAATAAAGCACTAAAAGGGGAAACCACTGAAATTACTGTTCAAAGAAGAGTCCTCTTTTGTACTTAACAGGGTTTCCTTTTTTTCTTCCAGTGAACTGTATCAATTCAAGATAGACAGGTAAAACAGAACTTGAGAGCCATCTGCAGTTACAGGCTCAGAAAAATCTGTGGAAGGGCAATTCACCATGGAGAACGTGTATATACCAGTACTTCTTATTATACTAGTAAAGACCCCAGACAATTATGATATTACCATACATTGTTATACCTCAGTGTCAAGCTCACTAAGGAGTGCAACCCGATGCTATTTTCTGTACTACATTAATCTTCAGAGGGTTTTAATACAGAAGACATTTTCAAAAGCTACTGTCTTTAAGGCTTGCAAAACAAATAATTGCATTTTTCACATCGGAAACAGGACTATCTTTGTCCAAAATCCCTTACTAAGTTTGAGACTGGACAGATCTTTGCTCCTAGGCATGATCAGCTGCAACCCGATTAAAACAGCAAGGACTGGTTATTCTGAAACTGCTGCCCTTTTCACATTCACTACCCCCAAAGCCTAAATGTTACTGAAACCAATTATGCAGTCTGTTCTAGGAAGTTTTTAAAGCAGCAAATCCCTGCTGGCATGCCTGCTAATGGCTACTCTTACAAGTCTCAAAAAAAAAGTTGCTGAACTCCACTGAAAAGTTTTAAGATCAAAGTGCTGCCTTCAAGAATCAAAGCTACCAAGCAAGTTTGAAGCACAACGCTCTAAAGAGAAATGAGATGCTTTAAACGAGATTTCTCACATTAGCAGAGCTCTTACTTTTATTTCCCAGAAAACTGCAGCTCTGCCAGGTACCTCTCTCTAGGAAGTAGAGAAAAGTCCAAGCTTGCTTTAGATAACCAGATTTAGATCAATGCAGTAGACTAGTTTTATCGCAATATCAGATTGATATGAAAGATGAAAACAAAGCCACTGAATTAATTTGCATCTATTTAGCCTACCACTCCCAGCCTCAAGATCTATTGGTAAAAAAATGCATAGTTACATCTCTGCCCAAACTTAGATGAGATGATCAAGAATTAAGTTTGCAGGAGTCAGCTCTTCCAAGAGGCACTAGAGTCCTGTGTTTCATACCTATGTATAATTACACATTTAGCAACCTTAACTATACTTTAACTCTGCTTGTTAAATTTAATGAACACACTTCTGGGGTAGGTACAGCAAAGGCTGCACTACCTGTTACTAGCACACTTGTCACGTGGTTAAGCTAGTGTTGTAGAAGTCTGAGAACACAAGCTTTCACAGTATATTAGAGAATGAAAAGTTAGTGCATAAACTAATCAGAATTAATTAGCTAGCTGCAGACATTAACAAGGGTAGTAGACTATCACCTAGATTTAGTACCTATCATGCAACATATCATCTAGACGTTACAGAAATAACTGATGATAAAAAAGATGTACTTTTCAAAGTCATTCCTCAACAAGTAAGAAAAGACTTGCACCCAAATATTTCAGTACAATTCAGAGGAGCCACCTAAGATTAAGACACATTACAAATGGATTTAGGATTTTAAGACCTTCAAGTTGCCAAACTCCTGTTTATGCGGCCTTTAAAATGGTTTGAAATTGGAATACATCTGTTAACCCCGCAGACTGCTGTACTGAATCCAACCAAAGTCCAGTACAATCCGATGAGTTTTGTGGCTTAGTAAAGCAATGTGGTGCCATGTCAGAGTACATTGGTGAACTCAATGAAAGAGGTTCATAATGGGCCTGTCATGTAAATTTGGGTAAAGAAAGCAAGAATGGATGGGACCAGTCCATCTAACTTATCCTACAGAAAGCCCCTCCATGTCAGGGAGGCATCATACTACTGGGCCCAGTTTGCGAACAATGTGTAGTGGCTACACGGTCAAGTAGATTACTAGTGAAAGGTACAGGATTGTCTGGAATACTTGGAAATCAATTTATATTGTGTACAAATTTTGAAAAAAAAAGTAATAGTCAAGCAATTTCATCAGCACAAGAATTAAACCAGATACTCTTACAAAGGTGTGCTGCCAAAATAACTGCATTTAAAAAAAGACAGTATTATTTTTTAAGGTTTTTAAAATGAGACCTACATAGCTCCGTTCATGCAGGCATTTGACTTAGTTTCAGATTAAAAACATTAGGCATTATACAATAAACACCTGCTAAAGCTTAGTTTGGATTTAGTGTTATTAAAACAGGAGTCTGGCATACAAATCTCTCTGATGGGATAACTCCGTGAGATAGGAGCTACATGAGCCAAAGCTCAATACTTATATCTGCACATTTGAACAGCAAAGCATAATAAAAATAATTAAATAAGTCAGCTGAATGCAGGCAATTCTATAGAGAGTTTCACAAAATTAAGTTCAAAGCCTTGCCAGAGATTATTTTTCAAAAAATGCTAAGAAGCCTTTAAGCATATTTATGCTCCAGAGGCAAACAAAGCAGCAGGCTCAGTATTTGCCAAGACACAACTTTTTGTCATCCACAACAGCAGTAACAGGTTTTTAGTTCTATAAAAAAGATATTTTTAAAACAAAGCGTTATCATCACAGGGTAAATGTTTGCCTAAAGATGAATAAAATTTCACCACTCACTTGAGTCATTATTTATTACAGGAGTTTCTGCTAGTGGGTTCAGTGGGACTTAATGATTATCCTATGCCAAAGGATAGCAGACTGTCTTTACTGGCCAATACAGATCAAGTGATAGATACGTACAGGGAGGAGAAGTGTTGAGTTATCTGAATGAGAAAT